ATTAAAAAGAACATTTTAAAGGGCAATAGAAAACGAAGTCCTGGAGGTACAAGCTACCTATAAGAGACCCTTCTTAAGAAGCCATATGAGATAGAAAGCACTGTATCTAAGCAATAATAAAAAGAAACACACAGAAGAGACAGTAGGTAGAAATCTCAGATGGCGTTTGATGTGAAAGTCACGAGTCAATCATCACAGAAGTTTACAGTTTAATTCATTCTTGGTGACTCCACACAGAGGTACTGTGAAATACCTTTCTCCATTCTGATGATTCTGTAACTCTGAAAAAAAGTTCATGACACAGAAACTCTATAGACATTGCCAACATTAGTTAAAATATAGATTTCCTAAGATGTTAGATTCTGAGACCAAAAGTAGCTAAGTATTCTTGCATTTAATTTCTATGTGACTGTGTGCTTGACAGGGACTCTAGTGGAGCATGTGTTTTGCAGCATTGAGAAAATGCTTTTGAGGGTATAGAATGGAGCCAGACTGGCAAAGGAAGCTGCAGCCTCCATAATCCTATGGTCTTCTCTTTAAACCATAGGCAACAGTCTACATCCATTGTATTTACAACTTTGCTTTTATTACTTGTGATTTGTGTGCCTACCTAGTGAACTATAATGAACCAAGAATTGGGATTCATGGGGGGTTTTCACTGAGCTTGGAAACCTACTCTATGATGGACAGAAAAAAGAGGAAGTCAGTATATTTAAAAGAAAGGTGTATGTTAGAGCTTTGGACTCGGGGTAGCAGACCAGGGCTTGCAGTTCTGTTATCAGCTGTGTGACTCTGGGTAGATCATCAAAGCTTTCTGAGCCTCAGTTCCTTCTTCAAGAAGATCAGGAGGTGAGTAAAATCTGATTTCCAGTATATGTTTCCAACACTAACATTCTGATACAACAAACCTGAATCTCAAGCTTAACATGCTTACTTACTCTACAATAAATTTATACATATGATTCTGGGCGAATAAACAAAATAATGTTTACAAGGTTCTCCTTGTGCTTGACAAACCATTAGCCAAGGGTAGGAGAGGGTCAGTTCATTTCCAGACTTTAAGCTCTGCTTTGTCAACTTTCCGTGGCATCATCAGGCTCTTAGGTAAGAGAGTATAGGAAAACACTTAGTAAGTTAAACATTTTTATGTATCTATCCAAAAATTCATAAGCTCCATGGCATAACCATAGCTTTCCTTTTATATGACATTGACATTTAACTTTTATTTAAATTTTTTTTGAATCTCTGAGCATTTCATTCATAAAATTATCTTTATACCCCCTTCCCCTTTGGCACCCTCCCATAGCCCCCCCTGCTGGAGTC